GGCGATTGAAAATTCAGTTATGTAGCACATATACTAAGGTATTTTTATGATGCAATAAGCGGTTATATGAGGGAATAATGGAAAAAATAAAATCTAAAAATAGATAAAGAGAGAATATTTTATTTTATTGTATTTTTTTTAGGTGGAGGGAGGGGGTGAAGGAAAAGAAAAGAAAGGAAAGATAAAAAGGAAAAAATGCAAAAAAAAAAATTTTTTTACATTTTTATGTACCAATCGGTTTCCGCAAATATAGAAATTTATCTGCCAAAAATAGAATTCCCGGAATACCATTTTATTCATTCATAGTTTTTTTTTTCTTTTGCTAACGTCTTATTTTCATCATCTTTCTGCCTCACTGAATTTTTTTTTGTTTTTCTGCTGGTCTTCAAAATGTTTGGGGTGTGTTTTACACTCCAATCCTTGTCATTGAAGAAAAAAGAATTGGTTAGTAACTTTATAAACGAAAAACTACTGAAAAGATGAAGAGGCAAAGAAAAGGAAGGAAGGGTTGAGTGAATGACGCTGAACGCTGTTGAGCAACTTAAAAAAGAATAATTCAGTAAAAAATTTTTGATGATTCTATGGTTGTCACAGAAGACTGGACAAATGATTACGTAATTTAATGGGCAAAAAATAGTTGCAGGTAAGGCGGAAAAAACAAGCTACAAATTATCAGCTATCGTCACTTCAAGTCTTATGGGATTATAAAAAGCCAAAAATAGCAATTGGGGTAGTCAGATGAGCAAAAAAAAGATAAAAAAAAAATAAAAATTAGTAAAAAAAAGAACTGAAAAAAAATGCTGTAAAAATTTTATCGTGAATAATTATTTGCCCATTTGTTTTCTTCTCTCTTCTGTTTCCTTTTTTTTTTTTTCTTTCATCAGTTCATTGTATAAGATCTCAATTTTTTCGATATTGAACAGATTGAAAAAAAATAGCAAAATTTGCACATGCGTATATGTGCCAAAAATAAGACTTTTCTATTGCTTGTTGGGTTAGTCAGATAGAAAGATGGATTGGGAAAAAAAATTGAAAAAGTAGAGATTTTTTTGTTTTATATTTTGCGTTTCTTTTTTTTCTTGTTACTTATCTGCGCCGTTGGTTTGGTCACGCATGTGACGATGATCGATGGTAACAGCAACAAGCAGTTATGACAATACTGTGAACCAGTTAAGTATCAGTGCAGACAATACTGATAATTTTTTATATTTACTACAGTTAGTTTAGAAAGTTTGAGTTTAATAACTTTTTCTTTTTTTTTGGAGGTAGGAGGTAAGGAGTTGCGATGGGGAGAGAAGGGAGTAGGAGAGGAAACAGAGGAGGAGGAGTTCGAAAAAGGCGACAGATAAATCAGATAAATTTTTGTTGTGGAACTTTTTGGAAGATATAAATATTTTTATTTTTCATATTTTCTACTTTACATTTTTTCACTTGGTGTTTTCAAACGGTTTTTTTGCTGTACTGAATAATTCTAAAAGTGATGTAATTATAAACTGAGAAGAAAGAGTCTGGAAGAAAAAGGACACCGAACTGAATCTTTGAAAAGTGATTTGCGGACTGGTAGACACACCATAAATGCCCATTTTACCCAATTTATTTGTCTTCAAATTTTTTTGCTCTTCAGATTCTTAATTTGTTTTGTTATTTTGTCTTTGCTCAGCAATAAAAACAGCACATCTTGTCACCATCATCATCATCATTGACAACAAACCCAATAAATTATGTCTGAAAGAAAAACAACAACTGCAGCAACGACAACGACAACAAATGAGAAAGACTTATAAAGGAAGAAAATTTTTGTCTGGCATTTCATTCTTTTTTTTTTTTCCTAATTTTTTTTTAATTATTTTTGTCTAAATTGTGGTCGACAGAAACGAAGGGAAACTTAATAAGGAAGCTGGTATGAGGGTTAGCGGTTATGCCGTCTTTTTCATTTATTAAAATAGACTCTTGCGTATGGAAAGTTTTTAGGCATTATCAGCTGTTTGGCAGTAGTTGCTTAATGTTTATCAGATCGGATTAAAAAAGTGAAATTCTCGTTGTACGTTTATTGGCCAGCAGATGAATGTTTTGAATAGACATGGTGCGCTGCCTTTAGAAAGCCACATATTTCAGTGATACGGTTTTTTGACGTTTCGTCGAATACGAATATATTCTAACAAATTTCTTTGATGTTTAGTCGGCTACATTTAATCGTACTTAAGAAAAAAATAATTTAGGAACATTTTTCAACGAAAATTTTTCTAATTGATAAGCCTATCAACTGTTGCTCAGTTCATTGCTGTTGCTATTGGGTACAACGATCTCCTTACAACGGTACTGTTAGAATGATAAAAAAACTTGTTAAGAGTATCCTATGTGTTCAACTGACGATTGATGTTAGCATTACTACTGTTGTTGCTGCGATTGTTGCAACTGTCGTCAAAAAATCACAGAGAGTACTAGTGGGACAAGGCTGTGGAGGAAATGTGTTGTCATCTGTACACAGTTGCTGAAGAACTATAGTCCGAACGATTTCTACATAATTGAGAAAAGCAATCATAACTTGGTTGTTGCTTTCTAAACTGCTTAGTCCCATTTAAACAGCGGCAATAGGTGTTCGGGCAGCTACTGCAGGAGGAGCACTGTAGCAAAAAAGTAGTTACTTGGTGGAGAAGAAAGGGAAGAATAAGAATTGGAGGGGGTGAAGGAAGCAGAAGAAGGGGAAGAATTATTTGGAAAAGAAAACGAACCGGCAAAAACGTCATGATATGGCGCCTTGTTGTTCTTGTTTTTTGTTGTTATCATTCGGCGTTGTTGTTATGGTTGTCGTCAGTAATGACAGAATGTGTGTTACTAAAAATGATATTAATGGTTCTATGCGTTTTGCAGATAAAAATAGAACAAAATTGAAGGCAAGTGGTAAAAAAAATTCAAAAAAGGTTTTTACCATTTTTAGATGAATTGACTGATGGGAAAAAAATGTGCAGAAAAGAAAGAGAAAATGCCAAGTTTTTTTCACGCTTCTCATAACTCAGTATAGGTCTTTGTTTTCCACCTGCATACATCGCTTATGTGGAACTATTTTTGGTTATAGTTTTTGCTGTCATTCTGAAATCAGCAGAATAAATGTTCTCTAAACAGTGTTTGATATAATTTTATTTGCACTTTTTTTTTTCTAGCGCTAAACTAAATTTTCAGTCATAGCCGATGACGGCAACTTTTTCTTTTGCATTTTGCACTATTTTTTCTGGATTTGAATTGAGGGAAAGTGATATGCAAAAAAAAAGGCAGGAAAGGAGAAAGTAAAAAAAAATAACTGAAAAGAAAAGAAACAGTAAAATTGCATAAAGGCTAGAAAAAAGGAAGAAAAAAAAAGGAATCTGTTCTTTTTAGGAACCCTAAAATACACCAACTGTAACGGGTCATAAAATCGGTGGTAATTGGAAATGTCTGCTTGTATTAGTCGTTGTTGTTGTAGTTCAGGGACTGTTTAAAATTCCTTGTTTTTGTCTTCATTTGCTTCTCTTTTTTTTTTTTTGCTATTTTCATCATTTTTTCTCTACGCTGGTCTCCACTTCTGTAATCCACGGCAGCCACAAAGTCTCTATGACAATAATGACGCTGACTCTGTTGTCATGATGGATATAACGCTTTTTTGCTCAGTGGGGGAGTTTGTGGAATATTATCTATAGCAGAAGCAGAGGTGGTTAGTGAGGAAGGGAATGGAATTAGTGAAAAAGCTGAAGAGGAGGTAATCCTTGCAGTGGTCACTAAAGTATGAATTCACATTTGGTGGACGGTAGCGGGGAACAGGTAAAATGGAGAGCAGAAAGAGGGGGAAGGAAGAGGGGAGAGGGAGCAAATAGGGAGCAGAGGATGACAGTTAGGAGGGGTAGCAAAAAGAACGAGAAAAGAAGTGATAAAAATTGCAAATAATATTTTTAGAAAAGTCTAAATTCCAAACTGCCATGAAAAACGGTAGTTCTAACAATTAATCAACATTAATGAGGACGTTTTTTTGTGAATCAGTTGGCAAGTTTAGGTTCTTTTCTTCCGGAAAACGAGGAAAAGAGAAAGGCGGTTAGGCGAGGTTGTTGAAAAGGTAGGGAAAAAAGTTAAAATTATTTTGCAACTCATTCAATTTTTTTGAAAATAAGGCCAGAAACAGACATTAATTGTTTTGTTATTTTTAGCTTTTTTGGGTCTTTTCCCATTTTTTCCTTCATGTAACTTGTTCTTTGTTGTTGGTTTTTTTATTCCACTTCTTTCTTGACGCTGAAACAATTTATTTTTGGAAACTCTTATTACTTGTTAATGCTGTTGTTGTTTCTGGCT